GCTTCTTCTTATGGTATCAAAGTATTGCTTGCTTATTTTGCATTTGGTTGACCCTGGTTCAATTTGTGGTACCACCTGTGTTCCCCAGGGACCAATATGAGTGATCCATCCCTGAGTACAAAGCCAGTAGTTAGCCCTGGGGGCTGCTGGGTGTGGCCCATCCCATCCCAAAACAAGAATAAAAAATAAAAGTAATAATGTTGGTGAGTATATGAAGAAAAGGGAACCCTTATACACAGCTAATGGGATTACAAACTGGCAAAGCCATTAGAGAAAGCAGCATAGAGATTCCTCAAAAAAAAAAAAATTTAAAAAGGGACCAGAGATAATGTAGGAATGTATCCAACTTAGTTCCATTGCTGCAATCTTGGAGGCCCCCACCTCGCCCAGGCAGGTAGCCTGAGCAGCCCCAGCTCTGAAGGGCCTATGCAGTAGCATATCTTCTGACCTTACATTAACTGTTGGTCCAGGTGGCCTAGATCTGCCAGTGGCCTAGATCATGCCCCTACCTCCTGAGCACCCTTGCAAAGCACCCTTTCCACAAAAACTTAAAGAACTTCCTTGTGTTCAGCAATTCTATTTCTGGGTATTGAAATAAAACAAACAAAAAAAACCCCATTAATTTGAAAATAGTATGGCCGCTCCACACCCACATTTGTCAAAGTGTTAGTTCTAATAGCAGAGTCAACCTAAGTTTCCATCAGTGGATAGTGGAACACAGGAGATGCGGAAATAGGTATATGCTATAAAAACATACAGATATGTGGAAATATGTACATGTAAACACACACACACATATAATGCAGTATCTCTGTAGCACTGTCTGTCCTGCACTGTCCTCCCGTTCTTCATCAATTTGCTCAAGCAGGCACCAGTAACGTCCCCATTGCTAACGTCTCCATTGTGATACTTGTTGTTACTGTTTTTGGCATACTGAATATGCCACAGGGAGTTTGCCAGGCTCTGCCATGCAGGCAGGATACTCTCGGTAGCTTGCTAGGCTTCCCGAGAGGGACAGAGGACTCAAACCCGGGTGGGCTGCGTGCAAGGCAAACGTCCTAACTGCTGTGCTATCGCTCTAGCCCAGTATCTCAGAGACATAAAATAAAGAATGTTGCCATTTTCAACAAAGATAGACTCTGAGGGTATGATAGAAAGTGATGTACATAAAAAAAGACAATATGGTATGACTTCATTTACCTATGAAATCTAAGACGGAAGATGAAAAACAAACAAACAACCACACAAGACACATATGGTCTTTGACACACTTGAGTTGACATAGTCATGGTGGAAAAACTGAATGAAAATAACAAAGAAGTAACAAATGTCCTATTATCAAATCTAAGCCATGGGGATGTGCTGTATATCACAGCATCCAATCAATGAGGCTATGCACATAATATGGAGGATAAAAAGTTCTAATAGGGAACAGAGCAATTGTACAGTGGATAAGGCGCTTGCCTCATATGTGGAGGACCAGGTTTCATTGCTGTCATCCCATATGGTCCTCTGCACTGCCAGGAGTAATTCTTGAGTGCAGAGCCAGAAGTAATAACTGAACATTGCTGGGTGTGACTCCAAAAAAACAAACAACAACAAACAAATGTTCTAAGAATAGATGAAAAACAGACTGGTTTGGGTGCTCATTTTGCATTTTGGAGTGATGATACTGTGGGTAGAGAGCTTGTCTTCAAAGTAGCTGACCCAGGTTCAATCCCCAGCATCACATATGGTCCCTCAATCTCAGCAGGAGTGATCCCTGAGCATAGAACCAGGAGTAAGTCCTGAGCAATGCCAGGTGTCCCCCCATAAAACAGAAACAAAAACAAGACAAAAAATCAGGAAAAGAAAATAAAGATTAAAGTAGCATGTTATACACTTGAAATTAATGAATGAATCTAATGAAAGAATATCAGTTATACTATTTCAAAAAAAAGGAGAAAAGGCCAACTTATCAATATAGGTGGTAACTGATGACATTCTGAAACTTATACAAGATTAGGAAGCTGAACCTTCCAAGCATTTGCATATATATTCTATGTAAAAACTCCTGGTTACAGTTTCATGTTTCTAAACTAGTAGGTCCAAATATGAAGACTTAATTCTCAACAGACACTACTATTTTCATTCCAAAAACCCAAGACAGAATATTGAAGACAGGTCAAAACACTCAGAGGATGTTCTATGCAGGCAGTTGCCTAACTCTTGTTGGTACAGGTTGTGTGTGTGTGTGTGTGTGTGTGTGTGTGTGTGTGTGTGTGTGTGGTGTGTGTGTGTCTACAAAGAACACGTTCAAAGACATGCTTCCACTGAAACTAGTTTAAGCCATTCAAGAGAGCAAATACTCTTAGTTTTCCACTGAAGCCAGTTTAAGCCATTCAGAGAGCAAATACTCTTAGTTCCATTACTACTTATAATTCTAACATCAAACCAAAAATTCCTTCACTTTTTCCATGTTTGTTCACTCATGCCAAACATCTAAGAAATGTTACTTCTCAAAAAAGCAACAGGAAGGGACACTCCCAACAAAACTGGGCCCAGGAGAAGTGGTGTCCCTTGCGTTTTAAGTCCTCATTTTCATATGCATTCTTCTGCCTACCACAAACTAGAAAGCCACATGCTGGCAACCTTTTCTTGAAATTAAAACCTTTTTGGTGAATACTAGTGGGAAAAAGACCAATTTGTAGGGCAGATTCATACCTTGGCCCTAGGTCACAGTGGCAGGACACGTTTTTCTTCAAGACTCTACTGCTCAAGGGGTGCCACTCTCCTGCATGCTCTCACACCCTAAGAGGTCCTGTCTCAGAATGGCATGGCGATTGCAGAGGCTTTCCCAGGGAAAAAAAGACACCAAACATTCTCTTTAGCTCTCCAGGGTTGTTTGGGGGGCATTCTAATTTAGTCTGGGAAAGATTTCATTTTATGAAAACATCTCCAAGGGCTAACAGATGTACTTAAGGACAATGAGGGATAAACATTGGTGATGTTGGAATGTCAGAACTAGCGCTTAATGGCAAATGCTTTGCACCAAGCTGTCCTGGATTACATAAGTGTGTGTGATTTTCTACCAGTACTGATGTGCTGTGGGAAGCCTGGGAGCCTGAGCATATTGTGTATTTCTGGTATAAATGAAAATGTTTTTACTTACAGAACTATTGTTGACTCTTTGCTTTCATTGGGATTTTGAGGCATGTAAAGTGAAATCAGGTCATGCTTAATGCTACATCTAAGATCTGGTGACTTTAGGGGCAACTTTTAGTAATATATATTATATATACTACATACTATTATACATATATATACAACAGTATAATAGTATACAATATGAAACAGCAGAGGAGATGGATGATGATATCCCTTCTAGAAATATACGGTGGCTGCTCTAAAGAGTGCATAGGGGAGAGGGGAAAACAATTTCTTTGGTTAATTTCATTAAATAAATACTTAACTATTCAATTTAAGAAGCACATGGAATTTGATTTTGTCAAGATTTTGGGAAGACAGAAGGTCAAAAAACAAACACAATAAGATTTCCTACCTCTCTGGAGCTTGGCAGAGATAGCTTCTACAAAATAATTAATGACAATAGTGACTATCTACTATCTACTTTCTATGTGTATCAGGCTTTCTTTTATTGGTTTTAAATATATCTTTCAGTGACCTAGTAACCCAGTGAGCTAGTGAAATTATGATCCCAGGTTTCAGAGAAAGGGAGAGGAAGGAAGGAGTCCAGTAATCTGTTCACATGCACAGAGAGAAGTGATGCACAGAGTTAAAAATTAAGAGTTAAGAATTCACACCCAGGCTGTATCACCAAAGATTTAAAACAAACAACAAAAATAGTTTATTCAATTAAAGTCAAAGTGAGCACTACTGGAATGGAGTTCTCAGAAAACATAGGGAAAGAGAGGGAGTGATACTAACGTGGGCAGGGTGCTTGCCCTGCACATGGCCAACTAGAGTTTGATCCCGGGTGACACGTATGGTCCCTGAGTCCTTCCAGGATTGCTCAGGGATCGTCCTTGAGTACAGAGGAAGAGGAAGCCCTGAACGCTGCAGGTATCACTCCAAAACCAAAAGCAAACCTCACCAAAACAAAACACCACTGCCAACAACAACAAAAACCAGAGGGAACAGAAAAGGTGTCACATAAACTAATGGCTGGAAACCCATTGAGGCAATGATTGCAAAGCATTTGGAAAAAACTCACTCCAAGAACAATACAACAGCAGCAAAAAAGTACTGTGCAGGGCCAAAAAAGATGAACAGACTGATATGACTGCAATGCAAGATGAAGGAATGGAAAAGATCAGAAAGGTAGGTTGTTACCAGACCTTAAAGACTAAGTACCAGGCTAATGTGGTCCCCTGTCCCCATGCATTTTAAAAATACAATTGGTAACTATTGTGGAGAAAAATTCTTGCCCACGAAATGACAGATGGGAACTGCAGAGATGCAGAATTACAATGGACAAGCTGGGAGTCAATGAACTAAGTGTTGGGTCTGCTCAGATCCCGAGTCACTGGAGGTAAGACATAATGTAAAGAAGGTATCCACTCTGGCGCAGCAAATCCTTTACATCTTTCAAGCCAGTTTAGACTAATTTGTAGAGGACCTTTTAAGTAATACCAGAAGTTTCTTAGGCTCCATCTGCGCCATATAATAAGGTTTTAGAAACCTGTCACTGTTTGCTATGGACATAGGAAGGAGAATGAGCATGGGAAACTTGTTATCTTTATCTGGATGAAGATATACTGCTAAGCCTTTCTTTATACTCCCAAAGTCTTTGTTCTATAAAGATCAACCATCCATGATCTTGAACTTTACGTCTGTCACTCTTCAAAAAGATCACTGCATTATTTACCGCTACTCTGCTCTGTTCTGAGCATATGCGCAGTTGTTTCAGAGAAACAGAACTTGTTAGATGAGCCAGTTATTGGATTTGGAGGTCTAAGAGAAAGGAAATGACCTGAGAGGCACCATCTAAGATCACTCACCTTTTTTGCACCTTGTTCTTCTTCCACGCCATCTCCTATAACAACATATACCACTTTTCTTCCAAACCTTTGAATTATCCTCTCAAAACAGCTTTCCTTTCCTAATGAACAAAAATAAATGTAGGGTTTGGGTAACTCTTAAGAGTGCTTGAACCATTCTTCTAATAGAAAATACTTTCTTTATGCATTTATTTAAGCCTATCCTACATGTACAAACTAAGAGGACAGTATTTTTATACATGCCATTTGGATGAGATGTATGATATCATAATTAAGTAAAATTTATAAATATATATCTGGTAACTTCTCCCTTGGAAACAAACTATTTTAATGCTGTTTCTCCAAGGACTTACTAAAAAGTTGGTTTAGTTGATCACAGAATAGCAGTTTGAGAGGGAAAGGTATTTTTTTTCAGGGAAAAAAGTATCATTCTACCACACCCCCTCCAACACAATGAAAACAAACAAAGAATGCAATTGTGGCAACCGATTTAACTTGATGGTAGAAGTATTTCACGATATACCAAACTCTAAAAATACATGATCCAAAAGCTGTTGAGAAGGAAGAATAAACAGGGACTGATTTTGTTATACTGAGAGAAATTAAACACAGATATTATTTTCATTTCTAGGCTGTGATTTTATTTAAACCAAGAAATCCAAACACCTAATGCGTCTTCCTGAAATAATGTCATACAAATGTCTTAGAGCATCACAGGAAGATCACACCTGCCTTACCCAAGTGTTAAATAATGCACTTTCCTGGAGAAAAAGTGGGAGGGAGGAAACAATTATCTATTATATTTCCCACTTCAAGACTTAGTTTGAGCTCCTGTGGCAGTTCACCTGTTAGGCAATTAATGCAGCCATTGTTGTTGTCCTCCTTGAGAAGAAATAGTGTTCTCAGTCCAGGCTGCCAATGGGGTCATTTTAACAGACAATGGGACAGTTTATGGTTTTCAAATGTAAAAGACTGAGCTGAACCTGCACCTCTTTCAAATAAGGATCTGATGTACACATGAACAAACTGCTTGTTTGCTTAAACAAATATCTACTTCATATTTGTATGTCTCACTTAAATCTCTAGTTTGCATCTGACAGAATTAAATCAGAAATTCAAAGAATATAATTTTAATGCTTCTTTAGATGCCCACTAAACTGTGAAATATTACATCACTTGAAGAAACAAATACACAATTTTAATCAGTGCAAAAATAATAATAAAATAAACAGCTCAAAACTTAGATGTCATTATTTTTTTTGTTTTTTAGAGGAAACAAAAATAAATTTTCCTTCTCAGAGGTTTACAGGTTTTTGCAACATTTAATTTTCACGGTAAAAGGAAGGTAAATCCAATGTGACTTAGAGATGAAACTTTGGTGTGCCAAAAATCTTCCTGCATACCGAGTATCTCCTTTAGGCTTTCTGGGAGATTTGCAGGACATTTTACATAACCAAGAACTGACTTTTAAGAGTTAATTTGGGGGCTTATATAAAAATTTCACCTTGATGAATCAACTTTGTCTAAAAATTAATCTATGGTCTGCTAAATGGGATTCCTGTCATATCCACCTATATCTCTGCATTTTACCTACAACATTTCTGGATTTTTTACATTAATCACTAAATTATCTCTCATTTGATGAGAAAAAAATAGCAATAATTACAGGAATTCCAATCATTTTTCTTTTTAAATGTTCAGATCTCAGTATGGTATAAAAATTAGGGTTAAATATATAGGGTGGTAGATATTGTCTCAAAACCAGTAGCTACATTGCTTTTCTATGTTGCCTTTAAAAAGAAAAATGATTGGAATTCCTGTAATTATTGCTATTTGACTTTTTTTGCAATTCCAACAAGTTAAATATTTGCAAATTACTTGATAATGCATGAAAACAAAACTTAATAACTACTTGTGCCTTCCTTCTGGGATGGATCTACTATCCTATATGCCCTTTGTAAATTGTTATGACTTTCATGCGCTGATAAGCTTTTACTAGGGTACTCTGTTTACAAAACACAACATGATTTATTTTTATTAATACAAATCGATTCAGTATAAACAGCTAATTTATGAAACATAAAAACAAATTAAAATTCCGTTTATAATATCTTTTCTACTTAGGATAGGGCCTTATTTTTTCTTTTTTTATAAACACTTCCAGCATTTTGTTCTTGGCTCTTTTGGCCAGCATCTCAAACTCCAAATATTTCAAATTTAATGGATCTCATAAGCTCTTCAAACTCAACAGTGATAAGATCCTATCTTTCCTATCAAACCTGACATTCCCATCATTTAATATTGTTAATATTGACCCAGTTCTCTCAAAGAAACTTCTTTGTCCATCCTCTCCAGAATAAACCATTTATTCATCCATTTCACACAACAAATGTCTACTGTATGCCTACTATACATTGTACAGTTCTGACAAGACTGACTCAGTTACCAAGGATAAGATAGTCCAATAGAGTCAGTATATAAACATGAAGTTTCAGTGATAATTTGGGAAGTGATTTTGAGAAATATAAAATGAGTAGATCTATGGGAATTTTTACCATTTTCAAACTTATTTATTTTTGCTTTTTGGTCATACCTGGCGAAGCACTGGGGTTACTCCTGGCTCATGCACTCAGGAATTACTCCCGGCGGAGCTGGGGGACCATATGGGATTCTGGGAATTGAACCTGGGTCGGCCACATACAAGGTAAATGCCTACCCACTGTGTTATCATTCTAGCCAACCATTTTAAAATTTAGACAGAATTTAACACATTCGAACAAAATGAGATACCACCTGCCAGAACACTTCTCTCCTTTCCTCAGAAACACCAAAATTGTATTACTCTTATTACAGAATGCAAAGTCATTTATGTTCAGAAGCTCACCTTTCTAGTGTCAGCTGCCCATGAATGCCCACGCAGGTCACTCAGGACCAAACTGTAAGTCCCTGAGTGGGGCATATATTTGACTCTCTGTCCCTTTATACTCATTAGCACAATAGTAAACTTTCATTTACTCTTCCTAAGGCAAATGTGATTTATTCCCTTTAGCCTTCCTCTAAGTGGGGATAAATACCTTCTAACCTTGAAGTGTATTTTTAGGCACTTAAAGAGGATACTCCTCCAATTAGAGATATAGATAAGAGCCTGGAACAGGAAATCCAAGAAAACCCTGTATTTACAAGCTATGAGTACAATTTGCTTAAGTCTCTGAGCTTTAGTTTGCTCATAATAAACAAAAAGATCATGAAGGTTGACTTTAAAGTGTCCAGTGCTTATTAGTACATTTCTAAATACTTAACAGACATTTGATATATTTGCATACCCTTTTGAGATGAGTTACTTAACCATCTACTGGAATAATAGATTCCCAAGCTGGACAGCAAATTCCTTAACAATAGAAACCATAGCTCCTTATCTCTATTTTTACTTCTCTTGGTCTGCATTCCAGTTAAATTTCACATTGGTATTTTCTCTAAGTTTCCTGCTAGCAATATTTTGCGTATCTCCAATTAAAAATGTAAACTCAGTAGTTTACACATGCTGTAAAATACAGTAAATAATAATTCTAATAATAATGTGTATTTAGTCCCTATTAGTGCGTAATTAGAGTTACTTCATTTTTACTTGGTGTAGCTATTAATATTACTATTATGTGTTAGCTTATAAAGTAAGATTGGGGGCTGATGTTGTTAAAAGAATAAAAATAAGGCAAAAACAAGAACTGCTATTCAATTGGCTGATTGAAATAGATAAGAATGTTGAACAGTAAAATTTTCTCAGTTAAACTCTATAGCTTATGCTTTTAATATTTTTTTTTGATGTCAGGGGCCACTTACAATAAAATTGGTTAAACTATTATGCATTCTCTGACATTTAACCTTTTGGAAAGAAGTCTGACTGACTTTCATTTTCACAAGCCTGAAGGTGCATGGTGAATTGCTTAAAAAATGAAATTAAACTGAGTTAAAAAATGGCTTACCTATTTTAGTTGCACTGTAAATATTTTCTATAGGAAATACAATTCCTAATCCATATAGCAGGACTTTCGCCAATGCTGGGATGAGCTGAGTAGTTGTTACTAAAATATTCACACAGTTAGTTCTATGAGAACAAAAAGGGTGGGAGGAGAAGGGAGTTGAATAATAAATATCCAAAATGAACAAGGGTGAGAAAAGCCCCCTTTCTAGCAAAAATACTCAAGTGACTCAGCGATTGCTCACCTGGAGTGAATGAGTGTAAGTGCTTTCAGGGCCAGTGTCAACCAGGAGTCGGTCAGGGCTTCAATCTCAGCCCTTAGCTGCAACCAAGCTTCCCTCTTGGCTGGTCCAAGCAGGCCTATAGGTTTAAAAATGTGTAATGCTCTACTTCCATGCCAATGTGTCTATCTAACATCACAGTAAACATTTTAATACTGTTAACATCAAAGTTGAGCTTTATAACTTACCAATCTTTCACATCAGCATTCATGTGACAAATATTTTTACATTGTAGGGAACATCTATTAGATTTCTAGCATCCTTTCTGATTATAGATGTCCCCTATTTCTCAGGGGGATTCAAATGACCCTCACTATTCTAACCAGGTATTTTGGAGGGCAGGGGCTTAAGTGGTAGAATACATGGATCTTAGTCGGAAGGTCCTGGGTTCAATCTCAAGCACTGCCAGGCATGCCCAGAACACCCCTACCCCCACTCGAGTAATCAAGTAATTTGGTCGGTGCTGAATCTAAGTGAAAGTCTTGTCTTGAACATCTACTTTATATATTGGGAAAGATATTTCCCCATCCTACATAGGTGTTAAACAGGTAGCATATAACCTAATCTACCTGGTGGTCATTTTTACCAGATTTGGGGAGGAGCTGATCTAGAAAATATTCCCGTTCTAAGGAATCTTGCCATCAAGATTCCTACTAGCGCTTTTGAGCATCTGGATTTCACTAAGAGGGAACCAACACTATCTTTCAACTTTACATGATTAAGTCAATTTAGTACTTTTTATTCTAAAGCCATTTTTGAACCACAATCAAAAGATCCCAACTAATACAGGTATTGGTAGAAGGAGCTTTATAGTTCAAGTTGTTTGAGGAAGAGTTGCCAATACCACTTCCTTAGAAGGACAACTGGATGCTGACAAGCTAAGGAACTTACTCTTAGACATACCACTGCTATCAGGTATGATGTTAGGACTAGATGTGACAGGCCTAACCAGAGCAGCAGGCCCTAGTCTAATATTTCTGTCACAAAATCACTGCAGACTCATCAGTGGTTACATGAAACTGTTCTTTAAAAGCTAATAGTTGGGGTTTGGAGAGAGTACGGGGGTAAGATGCGGTCAACCAGGGTTCGATTCACAGAATCACATATGGTCTCCTGAGCCCACCAGCAGTGATTCCTGAGTGCAGAGCTAGGAAAGATCCCTAAGCACAAGTATGTGTGGCCCGAAAACAAAACTATAAATGAGAAATGAAAGCAAAAATGCTATTATATGCAAAACATGTGTGACACTGAGAACTGTATCTATCTTAAACCACTAAGATACTGGTGAGAGACACTTGCCTCCAACATTGTTTTTGTAGGTATTGTAGATCTCTTTTACTCGTCGGTAGCGAAAGGCCAACTTTCTCATCCAGTCTACACCTCCCCGCACACCGGTTGCCAGGCATAAATTAGCACTGGTTGCTGCAGCAGGAAAGCCATCTGTTCCAAAGTTATATGTGCTATTTAGATGCAAGAAAAGCCCAAAGTTAACCAAACAGAAAGTTCATCTCAGTTAGCTGAGCAATTTAACTCTAAACTTCACGTCACTGTTCTCACCTTAGGTCTTGCCCATTATCATCTGAGGAGACATCATCTATATGAACTTGGTCACATTCCTAAAATGCAATTCAAATTATACATGTTTATTTTCAAAAGCCATGTACATTAAACCACACACAGTTACATTAAAAACAAACAACCAGAGCCCCCCACCAAACCATTTTTAATTGGAGTGTTTTTTCAAGGATGTCAATCGGTAGGTGGTGGTCTGGTTAAATTGACATTTTTACCTACTCTGGTCCTCTTTTAAGCAATGTCATTAACAACTACTGTTACTGAGCTTCAGAAAACACATTTTTGTGTTTAGAAAGGAAAGTGATTGAAAACAATTAGCATATGTGTTCCATAAACCTCAGGTACCTGAAGACATCATGCTGCTCGAAGCCGATGCTCTCAGTGCCTGAGCATAACTGAAACCAGACATTTTGGTAAATGTAACATGCTAGAAAAATTAAACCTGATGCTAACTGCCAATGAAATTATGACCTCTGATTGCTGTTGAGCCACACACCAACACAGCCTGAGGCCAGTGTGCTGAGGAGTCCAGACAAAAATCTGTTACTGGTTTGCCATTGATTTGAGAGATGTGAGTTTTATTCTCTCTCTCATTTTCAGAAAGAAAAAAAAATCACAGATTGCAAAACTTAAAATCATCAAACCATGTGGTATTTTTTAATCTTTTTTTTAACCTTTTTGCTCTGATTTTTAACTGTTTCATTAGTCTTACATATTCATTTAAAATTCTAGATTTATGAGTCTATTAGAAATTAATATTATTTAAACAGACCTAATTAAAAAGTTACAAATCACATATAAATTGCTCAGGGGGAAAGCCTAAGACTGGGCTGGTGCTGTATTGAGCCAAGTTCATGTTTACGCACCTGTTGAACACCTACATGCACACACACACACACACACACACACACACACACACATACACACACACTCCTAGCACAGTGGAAGGAAGAGTGAAGGGCAGACACTCAATAAACACTTGCTGAATGAATGCAGGCATGTTCGCTCACAGGAAGTCTCTAGTTCAGAAACAAGTGCCACCCCTTTGGCATAGTTCAATACATTAATCATAAATCTGCTTGTAGTTCCGCTCCCAATACCCAGGATTTTTTTTTTATTACGCTTACTTCCACTGAACATTTGTGTTTAGAAATATTACCAAAAGACATTTCCAGGCTGCATTTCCAAAGATTCTAATTCAAGCTCTGGTTCTAGTTCTTATACAGTTTCATGAAAGTCAAGCCTACCCTGCTAGTGTTTAATGTTCAACACGCAACGAAGTAGACAGACGGGAAGCCCCACCATAGACGGTGTGTTCTTTTATGCTGCCGGTTCCTTCTGAACAAATTCTTTTCTCTCCATGGATTTGTGAGGAAGGGAGCAGGAGATAGAAGTGAAAAGAAACTCAAACCAGCTGTTGCTTAACAGAATTAAAATCGTGACCCCCAACCCTTTCTCTAAAGCATCTATTTTCCAGGCCACCCTCTCCCAGCAAGCAGCAAGTTCCAAGGAGGAAAAGACTTTGACCTTGTAACCCCGTCTTGCTCTCCTGAGGTCCATAACCTCAGACAAGAAAAAAGGAAAAGCAAGTCCAGGGGCCTCACGTGTGGACTGTGAATTTTACATTAGAAAAAAACGGTTCATTCCTCAAAAATATGATTGGAGACTTCTCAGAGTTACTCATTTTGTTGGAAGATGAATGACAATCGTGTTTTGCAACACATACTTATTCTGGGTTTAAAGAGTCAACTAAATTAAGAGTTAAAAATTGTTTCTATTTATCTCACCAGAGATACTCTTATTTTTACATGTTGCTGGTAAATTACTTTTATCATAGTGCATGGTTAGTATACAAAATAGACACTCCCCCCCAAAAAAAAGTGTATCTTAAACTTCCAAATTTAACCCACCTCACACACACCCAAGCAAACAATAACCCCACAGTCCTTCAAAGGGTAACTTTTTCCTCCTTCGGGAAAGATCCATGGAGGGGTGGGGTGGAGAGCAGGAGTTGGCAAGGTGGATGAGGATTAAAACAACTTTAAACGTTAAAACAACTTTAATTCAAGGTATCAAAGGTGAGCTACTCAAGGTGGGAAAAATTCTCTAGAAATCAGGGTGTTAAGAGGCTTTTTGTTAGGGAAGGCAAGAGTAAATCTGCATTACCCACAGAGAAGCCAGTTATCTGCTAATGACTGTTAATGATCCACTGTTGGCCATTGTTCTTGCACATCCTGTATTTGTTTTCTCATGCTAGCTTGATTTAAGACTTTGTTCCCAGGCAGAGGCCCTCATTTGAAATAAAGTTCTGTCCCTCCTTTAGCTCTAATTATGTGTCAATAGCTTCAAGCTTTTGCCTTTGGGTAACAAAAACACATCCTGGTTGGTGTTTGGATTAAAGCAAAGTTTGGTATGGTGACAAGAAAACTTTTAGTCCCTTTAGTAGAATGAACTTTGATAGGATGATTTTAACAAGACTACAGGAAAACACCAAGAACATTTGTAAAGGGGTCTAATTGGAATTTTCCAGAATTAAAAAAAATGTATAAATTACATGTTTTTGAAATTGTTATTCATTTTGCTTAACAATAGAATAATACTATTTAACAATCTCACAGACTTCGAATCACTTTGAATCTGTGGGATATATACTGAAGTTTCTTTGCCTTTCTTTGAATAGTATAAATAAAATCTTAATAATAACTATGATTTTTAAAAAACTAATGAGAAACTATACTTTTAGTATCTTGATACCTACTAAACACTAGAATTCCTCAAAGAATGGAAAATATTAATATACTGAAATATTTTACAACAAAGCAGTGCGTGGTGTAAACTTATTTGAGGTGAGCTGACCCTCAAATTAGAAACTGCAGTTCCCTGCACTCTGATAATTCTAAAGTTCGATCTCTTTCCTGGACAGAAGACCCCGGCTGATATTCTTTCATTTTTTAGAAGCCATCTAGCGTTTTGTTTTTAAGGTCCTAATTCCTAATTTTAGGTCTTCATTTTGTGCATTCTAGACTTGGCTGTTATTAGTTTCCAAATAAATTTTGATCTGATGTTCTGTGTATCAGACTCAGGGTCTCCCAAATGTTGGGCATAAGTTCTACCACTATACTACTTTCCTTCTGCCCAATTATTTTTAGATCCAGAAACTCGGACAACTGAGTGAGAGAAGCAAAAGGTACACTAGAGCCATGAAAACAAGAACAGCACAATAAAGTTTAAAACATCTCTGGAATAATCCATAGATGCAATCATCAAGAATGGAAGCTTTCTGGGCTGGAGAACGTAGCCTTGAATGCAGCTGACCCGGGTAGATTCCTAACACCCATATGTGCCCCTAATCCCCGCCAGGAGTGATGCTTGCTGAAGAATCAGGAATAAACCCTGAACACTGTCAGGTGTGGTCCCCAAACCACACCAAACCAAACTAAGAATTAAGCTCCCCCAAATTCCAAATATCAACAGATATTACTGAAAACCCAAACTGGGTGCTTCACACACAGAATGTAGAATATCCAGAATTCCCTGGGCGGAAAACGTTATTTGAGGAAGACTGAAGGTGTTACACATGTATTTCTCAAGCTTCTAAAAAAGTAGGTTAGGGATTTTAGGAACTGAAGTCCCTGAATCCAAGGTTGAACATTCAATGGTTTCTTACCACTTTATATTTTAGCACAGTTTACGCTTTACTCTATCTTGTTGAGGATTAAGATGCCTAAGGGCCCCTACTGTGGCAGGATGGGATCTAAAGTGGGGAAAAAGTGAAGAGTTCCACTACTTCTGCATAATTTACAGTGCTCATTTGCACTACCTAAGAGGTATCTTAGCTGAGAAAGGGGATCATTGATTCATTTGTGTATTCAATTGTTTATTAGGGGCTATAGTGTTCTAAGTACTGTTCTAAATGCTAAGGACAAAGAATCCAGTAGATAAAAATCATTACTACCTTGGAACTAACTATTCTCATTGGAGAAACAAGAAAGATATGCAAAACGTACAAGATGTTTGCCAGTAACAAGTGCTAAAGTGAAAAATATATAGGAGGTTAGGGATAGGTGCAATGTTGGATAACTGTTACAGAGACAATCCTGTGTGTGAAGGAATGCACAAATAGTCTAAGTTAGGAGTGGGAAGGATGACCTGGAATAGCCGGTAACCACAAGGAGCTTGGTTTGCTTTGGGAGTATCAGTAACAACCCTGGAATCCAAGGGAACAGTCTCCTACAGAATCACTGTCACTGTCCTCCCGTTGTTTATTGATTTTCTCAAGCGGGCCCAGTAACGTCTCCATTGTGAGACTTGTTGCTACTGTGTTTGGCATATCAAATACGTCATTGGGTGCTTGCCAGGCTTTGGTGTGCGGGCGAGATACTCTCGGTAACTTGCCAGGCTCTCCGAGAGGGGGCAGAGGAATCAAACCTGGGCTGACAAGGTAGGCTGCGCTCCAGCCCATGGCTGAGTTTTATCTAGCCCAAGCATTTTATCTGGTCCAAGAGTGTTATCTAGTCCTGGAAGTGAAAAACTGAGATCATGTGCTAAATCGGGAAGGAAAAAGGCACTGCTCTGTGATTCTATTAAGTCAACAGGTAAACTGTGGAGGACTAGTATAGGTGTGTCACAAGCAGGGGTTGTGATAACATGAAGTGTTTGATTCCCACTTGCCAATGGCAAACCTGTACTTTTGAATGGTTGTAGGGAGAAGGAAAATGGTACTATTGGAGAAAACAACATTTTCTCTAAAAAGATTATCCCATATTGAAAGATGCAGAGGAACACTCTGGAGCCAATGAACAGGTCCCACAAAAAGGTGAGGACAGTGTCTTTCAGATAGTTTCTTATATCCCTAAAGTACAGATGTAAGAATTGGAATGGGAGCCAGAAAGGAACTGGGGGAAGAGGGAAGTTATTTTTGTTAATGGCATTCCAAAGGGGTATCAAAGTCAGTAACAAAGTGTATATATATATATACACACACACACACACATATATATCTTGGTATGTATGACAAACTTTCATGTACATCCACACAACA